TCCTGTAACAACTTGTTGTTGTTGTTGTTAAGTGCCGTTGAGTCGGGTCCGACCCATAGCGACCCTGTACAGGGTTTCCGACTTACAGCCTCAGAAACCCAATACAGAGTTGCTAAGAGCCAGAACCGACTTGACGGTGCACAACCACCATCACCACCACCAGCAGTAGCATGTATGTGGTCACTGGGGTCACAGAGGTGGGTAAGATCACTCAAGAGTTTAAAAAATAAGATGGAAATAAATTGACTACAACAAAAATGCGGTACAAGGACATTTAAGTGACAGCAGAGGGAGGAGGTCTTGGAAGGTAAACGGAAGAACGCAGAGATTTAGGAAGAAACCCAGGAAAATGAGGTTTCACAAGTCAAGAGATGTGAACACAGAGGCAATAGTCCTTAGTATAAAGTGCTCAGGACTTCAAACTGTTCGTTCTAGGTCAACCCCCTATTGAGAATTTGAACTTGTATCCCAGATATAGCAAATGAGTGCCTACATTTTAACAATGTCCTTATAAGGATGATCCCCTAGAATGAACTGGTTTGAAGCCTGGAAAAATGCTGGAGAAGGTGAAGTAAACTACTTGGTAGAACAGAGTTGTTGGCAGTTTCAGTGGAGTGGTAGAGGTAGAATCCAAAAGCTTATTGAAGAAATAATCTGTGGCGTGAAGTTCTTGTGAAGGCAGGAGTACAAAAATTCAGAGAACAGACAGGAAAAGACAGAATACAGAGAAAAGCAGATATAAGTGCTCAGACATGGCGGATACCTGATATACTATGACAGGTGAGATGATGGGTGTGGATTCAGGTAGGCCGATGAGTGTGAAGACAGGAAGTTGCTGGAGTTCTTTTCTGATGGTTTCTATTTATTTATTTTTTTTTGGGTGGGTTTCTATTTTTTGCTGAAATAAGCAAGGGAAATCAAAACTAACCCTGTTGTTATTGACTCGATTCCAACTCGTAGTGATCCTGTGCGATGGAGTAGAACTTCTCTATAGGGTTCCAAGGCTACAAATCTTTCTGAAGCAGACTGCCCTGTCTTTCATGAAGGGAGGGAAGTGATTTGAAAATGGTGGAGAAGTTCTTAGTGGTTGTTGTGGAAAATAGGAGAGAGTGGTATCTAGGGAAGCAAGCATTGACTGGCAAAGTTGAAGGCTCACTTGAGGTTTTGCACACTGTAAATATGTAGTGGAAACAACTATTACAGTCTGTCTAGAATTTCAGATCACTTTTCTTCTTCAAACCTCTTTCAGAATCAGATATTGCAATGTTGTTGTTAAAGTGCCATTGAGTCTGTTTTGACTCATAGATACCCTGTATGTGGTGCTGTAGGATAAGCACTGGACTGTAAGGTCTGTTTGAACTGCAAGGCCACCAGCCGATCCACAGAAACCCAACACAGGGTCACTGTGAGTCAAAATCAACTTGATGGCACTTAACAACAACATAGGGTTGCCAAGGCTGTATATCTGTGTAGGGGCAGATTTCTCCCACAGAGTGGCTGGTGGGCTTGAACTGCTGACCTTGTGGTTCTCATTCCAGTGCTTATTGTATGGCTATTACAATAGAGGTTATAAAATCATTACAATTATCTCACTCACTCTCTCTCTCTCTCTGTCTCACACACACACACACACACACACACATTATATAACACTATTAGTCCTCTTATGGAGAAAGTTTCATAGGATAGTATAATTTCATTGACTATAATCTGCCATTTATTTTCAATGGAAAGTAGTGAAGCAATTGTTGCATGGGGTAGAATTTGCAGAAAAGCGTGCATAAACCTCAGACCAGGAACTTTTTCATACCATTATTCAGTGAAGCCTGTGAGAGCTAGGAGTTGGCGGGACTGCCTTGTTTTTCCAGGTCCTGAAAGTTTTCTGCTTTTGGCAGGGTGCAGTCACCACTTTTCTATTGCTCTTTATTAGTGGAAAATATTTCAGTTTTCCTTTTTTGGCAGGCTTATACCTTAAAAAGGAGCTCTGGTAGCGTAGTGGTGACGAATCAGGCTGTGAACCGCAAGGTCAGTAGTTCGAAACTACCAGCTGTTCCGCGGGAGAAAGATGAGGCTTTCTGCTCCCGTAAAGATTTACAGCCTCGGAAACCCTGTACAGTGTCACTATGAAGTGGAACTGACTCCATGGCACATAACAACAACAACAACAACATACCTTAAACAGGTTCTGGCTTTTGCAAGTTTTACTATTCTAAGAATTTATCCCAAGTGCAAAATAACAATATTCATCTCTCATATTCATTAACAAATACTCCTCAAAGAAATACATCAATAGAGATGGGAGATTTTGGGGTCTAAGATAAAAATTTGAGGACTGTTGAACTAGCATGTATTATGTGCTTAATGGACATGTATTAGATAATGAAAGTGATAGTTTGCCCAAACTCAGGCACATTGCTTCTTTTTCTTTGTTATAAAAATGAAGGTACATGTACAATTTAATGACATCATCTATCTCGAACATTTTGTAACTGTTGTTGTTAAGTGTCCTTGAGTTGGTTTTGACTCATAGCGACCTTGTATAGGATTTCCAAGGGGACGTTGGTGGATGTGAACCTCTGACTTTTTGGTTAACAGTCAAGTACTTATGCTACAGTGCCACATCAGGACTCCTAGATTATATTAAACAATCTTGGAATAATTTTATATTTTAAAGTGATCTGAATATAGATAAATTGCATGAGTCCAGGTAACTAAAAAAAAGCCCTATTAGCTAAGTGTTATCCCTATTTATAAGGAACCCTGGTGATGCTGTAGGATAAATACTAAGCTGCTAACATCAAGGTTAACAGTTTAAAACCACCAGTCACTTAGGAGAAAGATGAGACTTTCTGCTCTCAGAGATTTACAGCTTCAGAAACCCTGTGGGGTCACTATGAGTTGGAATCCGTCCAATTCCAGTTTAGTTTGAGAGGACCACATTTATAGATGAAGGCTGGGGCTTATGCATTAACTCAGTTTACTCCCACAAATCTCCCATGAAATAGGTCTTATCCCCATTTACAGACAAGGAAACCAGAGCACAGAAAAGTTAAGCAATCTGGCAGTGCTCACATCTAGCTAATAAAATAGTAAAGCTGGTATTTGAACCAGGCAGTCTGACTCCAGAGGCCACATTTTTATCCTTTTGGAAAATAGTAATTTAATGGAATTTTCCAAAGTAAAACGGTTCATTCGCAATTTTAGAGATTTAACACTATTGGTTGAGCTGAGCTGTAACAGACTTTAGGAACAATTTGGTAAAAATGTAGACTTATGAACAGTAAGGTACAAAATAAGTTGCTTTCTTAAATAACATTTCCTTCATTTAAAAAAAATTCTGTGGAATTGTTTCAAGTATAAAGCTGTTAACTTACAGCGACCCTATATCGAGTTAAGAGGAGCAGCTGTGTGTTTGAACCTTCAGCCTTGTGGTTAGCAATCCAGTATATTCTACAGGGTCAGAACAGGACTCCCAAGTATACAGCGGTAGTTGTTATTTGTTGTGTGCTGTGGAGTCGGTTCTGACCCACAGTAACCTTGATTGTATAGTGTTTGAGGCTATGAATCTTTACTAAAAAGTGGCTAGTAGTTTCGGATTCCTGACCTCGTGGTTAGCAGTCCTACTCGTAACCCAATTGTGCATCCATTTTATCCTTCACCTAACTTTAACAAATTTTAACATTGTGACATATTTTCTTGGATTACTTTTGATAGAAAATAAAACATTATAAATACAACTGAACCTTCCCTATTACATTTCATTCTGTCCTTCTCGGGAAGTAATTAATAACCTAGATTTGGTATGTTATTTTTCAACTTTATGGTACAATATATGCATTTCTTTGCTCAACATTGTCTTAGTGAACTCTACCCAGATGAAAACAGATAACATTAGGCATTCTGTGTATGAAAATCGATCCAATCATGTAATTTATTCATTCATTGGGACACTTAAATTGTTTTCACTATTATAAACTACTTTGTTACAAATCACCTCAGGTAGATTTACACTAACTTGATGTATCTTCAACACTGAGGTGTAACAGAATAGATAATACCAGTGAACAAACTATACACAAAGAGAGCCATGCATTTCAAAAAAGTACGAAAGACCACTGGTTGTTGTGAGCAAAGGGAGATGCCTTTCATTGGGAAGAACTTGGGGATGGCTACAGAGAGCCAAAAACTTTTTTCAACAGTAAGCGATCACACCATTTTAGTCCTTCATTACTGTGACCTAAGATTCGTGGGTGTCCATTTCTTCAACTAGACTGTGAGTTTCAGGAGGACTGAACCTGTCACTAGCAAGGTGAGCCAATGCGAGCGTGACCGTGGAGAGTCTGCAGTGCAAGCTGCAGCAGCCGATTCTGGGCTGTGCCTGGACCCCAAAATGTGACAGCGAGAAAGATTATCAGGGCAACCAGGGCCTAAATCATACTTTCCATTGGAGGAAGTCCTGGAAACTTAGGAAACGGGGATAGATGGGATCGCAGACACCGGCCTCGAAGTGTCGCATCACTTTCACTCACAAAGCTGCCAGGTCAGTAGCTAAATACCCAGGCGTGGACTCGTCACCCGCCCAGAGAGCAATTTCCCAGTCTGGTTCTTCCAGTGGCGCCTCTTACCCTTACGCCAATTCCGTAAGGAGGCTCTAAACCCGACTGGGCGGCTCCCGCAGCTCCAAATTGGCCTGACGTGAAATTGCGCGGGGCGACACTGACAACGGCCATCTTTAATTCGGGCAAAACCCCACCCTCACATCCCACCAACCGCTGTCTTCCAGCTTCCCCAGGATTTTCACCAGCAAGCATAACGCAATTCATTTTAGAGACAGTGTGGACAAAACATGCAGAGGCCTGGCCATCCAGGACCCCAGAGGAGCCAAATCCGGCCACTTTAAACATGGCGGCTAGATCCGAACAGCAAAACGACACTGAAGCTGATGAAGTCATGCTCGAAATAGAACGAGGCAGCGGGGGCCCGGGAGGTGGTAGTCTCGCGAGATCGAAGCCGGCCTCCACTAGGCCCGGAAGTCTGATCTGAGGGGGCGGGGGACGGAGGAGGGAGCGGGAGACAGGGAAGAGCCAGTGGAGGAGTCCGCCCTCTGTCGCGTGCGTAAGCGGAGCAGCGACGCCGGGCGGCTACGCCGCGAAATCGGCGTAGGCGGCTTTGGAGAATCGGCGGGCTGCGCTGCGCCGGGGCTGGTAGCCGAGGGGGGAGGGGATGTCGGTCAGTGCGAGATCCACTGCTGCTGAAGAGAGGAGCGTCAACAGCAGCACCATGGGTGAGTCTCAGCCTTGGGCCGCCGGGACTCCGGGTCCGTGGTCCGGGCGCGGGGAAGGTCTGTAGCCACTGGACCGGGCGAGGGGAAGGCCAAGAGGCTAGGCGGGGGGTAGCGGCGAGGGGAGGTCGGGGTGGGGGCGACGGCGGGTCCGGGGTGCGGCGGTGGCGGGCCCGGGGGGATGGGAGGCGGCGACGGTGACAGTTTGAATTGAATGTGAGGAGAGCCGAGGCGGCAGCATTTCCTGTGCTGCGGCGGGCGGGAGACGCGAGCTGCGCGGCCGTGGCTGCCCCAGCGGGGTCGTCTCGGCCCAGCCCTTGCCTCCCTCTGCCTCCTTCCGGGCCCTCCGACCCAGCGGCCCTGAGTCTTCCTACAGGCGGCTCCTCTACCCTGGTGGGGCCTGGGCCGGGGAGGAAGCCCCGCGGGTGTGCGGCCGGCCCCGGGCGGCGGCGGGGGAGGAAGAAGGATGCTGCGGGTGTAGGAGGCGGCGGCTCCGGCAACCGTCTCCCTTCTCGATTCCACCTCCCGCCGCTCGGGGCTTCCTTTCACTGGGCTCGGCCGGAAGGCCGCGGAGGACGGGCGAGGCTCCAGTGTGGACGCGCTGGAGGCTGACTCGGGTTTCGGGGCTGAATTTTTAGGAAACGGGAAAAGGAGCGTCTGGGAAGTGCGCCCCCCGGAGGAAGGGGAACGATGGGAGGGAGCTATGGCCTGGCGGAGTGGAAGGACCTTACATTGCGACAGTATTTCAGTATTTTCAGTGATTCTCTCAAGAACCCCTTTCATTTCCTTTCCTCCCCCACATACTGGAAAAAGAACAAGGCCGTTTCATTCATATTTTCCACTCCTGAGTCCCAATCCGTGCTGGGTGTTGAGTTCAATGTGAAATAAGCTCTGAGAATTTCGAGCACGTTTCCATTTGCTCAGTTACTCTTTGAAAGTACACTGTTTCAAATCGTAGCTTTTACAGGGTAGGGAAAGAATTTGTGACGCCTGTATCTTTGCTCGGTTTCGGAGCTGATAGCTTGCTGCATATTTCAACTTTGCTGTGAAATGATTGAACTTGAAGAATGTCTTTTCTTTTAGTTTGTCATTTTTATGAAATAAAAGCTATTTTTTTCTTTTCTTTTTGAGTGCCCTTGAGAATCTAAATGGACAGATAGTCCAAATTCAAAAGGTTGTTTGGGATGTTTATGTACGAAAGGTTTGAGATGTTTATGTACATGCGATTGAAGATGTACACAGTTCGTGTTCAATTTGGGAAGGAAACTTTTTAGGCATTAACTGGACAGGTAAGGATAGTGTTTATGGAATACTGACAGCCTGGAAGATGATGTATTTGCAACGTATAAACAATTGCCAAACTAGTTCCTGCTGCCTGGATCTCATATTCCTCCAAATAGTGAGAGAAGAAGCTGGGGGGAGGGCAGGAAACTGTCTGTCATCCCACCCAGCTGTTGGGTGGGAGTGGCGAGTGGAGAGCTGGGTGAGTGGACGATTGTGCAGCAAATATGGAAGCCACATAGAGGGTTTGCGTATTGGCATGTGTCACACTGATGGACAGCATAAGGTAGCCAGGTCCTTTTACTACAGACAGTATTTTAGAAACACCTCGTGTGCAATAGGCTTACAGACTTGAGGTTCATAACTAGTAACTTAAATTTATTTTGTATTTATGTTAGAATAGATCTAATTTAGAAAAGATGCTCTTTCTAATTTGAAATTTGGTGATGCTGGTTTTGATGTGACGGTTGTTGTTAAGCGCTGTTGAGTCGGATCCGACTCATAGCGACCCTGTACAGGGCTTCCAATGAGCGGTTGGTGAGTTTGAACTGTCAACTTTGTGATTCAGACCGACCTTGCAGTCTCGTGCTTATCCTACGGCACCACACCAGGATCAAATTCTAATTCATAGTTACATGAAAATAGTTTTACCAATAGATTATATTTCAAAATTTGCTATAAAATTGTTTGGATTTGTAAGTTTACAAGTGGAAATCACTGTAAATCCATGCCAGAACTTGTGAGCTGATCCAAGACAAGGTTGGGCTCCTGGCACACTTAGAGCAGTTTTAGAGGGTTAGGCTCTGGTAAGGAGCCCTGATGATGCAGTGGTTCAAACTTGGCTGGTAACTGAAAGACCAGTGATTCAAACGCATCAGTGACTCCAGAGGAGACAGATGTGGCAATCTCCTTCTGTAAAGATTTACAGTCAACTCAGACCTATATGGTCACTGTGAGTCAGAATCAACTCCGTAGCAAGGAGGTTAGGCTATGTTGTTGGTAGGTGACATCTAGTCACTTTCAACTCATAGTAACGCTGTGCAGCAGAAATACTGCCCATTGTTTTGTTTGATCCCATTGCTGTTGCCTCTTTGTAGATCCATCTCTTTGTGGGTCTTCTTTTTTACTGACCTTATATTTTCGAAGCATGATGTCCTAAGTATGAGGTAAAAAGTCTTGCCATCCTGGCTTCTAAGGAACATTCTGGCTGTACTTCTTCCAAGATAGATTTGTTTGTTCTTCTGGCATTCCATGGTACTTTTGATATTCTTCTCCAACACCATAACATAAATGCATCAATTCTTCTAAGGTTTTCTTTATTTATTTGTCCGACTTTCATGTGCATATGAGGTGATTGAAGATGATAGTATGGCTTCGGTCAGGTCAGGCACACCTTCATCCTCAAACTGATCTCTTTGCTCATGAGCACTTTAAAGAGGTCTTTGGCAGCAGATTTTCCTAATGCAATATGTTGTTTGGTTTCTTGACTGCTGCTTGCATGAATGTTGATTGTGGATGCAAGCAAAATGAAGTCTTCTACAATTTCAGTCTTTACTCTGTTTGTCATAAAAGGTTTATTTGTCCAGTTGTGAGGATTTTCATTTCCTTTACAGTGAGGTACAATCCATAAGGAAGGCTGTAGTCTTGTAGTCTTTGATATTCATTAGCAAGTATTTTAAGTCCTTTTTTTTCCAGCCAATAAGGTTGTATCATCTGCACATCATAGATTGTTAATGTTTTCCTCCAATCTTGATACCATGTTCTTCTTCATATAACCCAGCTTCTTGGATTATTTTCTCAGCATACAGATTGAATAAATATGGTGAAAGGATACGACCCTCATACACACCGTTTCTGATTTTAAACCACTCAGTATTCCCTTGTTCTGTTCGAATGCCCGCCTGTTGGTGGGTCTATGTACAGGTTCCTCATGAGCCAAATTAAGTGCTCAGGAATACTCATTCTTTACAAGGTTACCCATATGTTATTATCTGCACAGCTAAATGCCTTTGCATAGTCAATAAAGCACAAGTACACATCTTTTGGTATTCTCTGCTTTCAGCAAAGATCCATCTGAGGTCAGCAGTTTGATCCCTAGTTTTGCATCCTCTTCTGAATCTGGCTTGTTGATGTACAGTTGCAAAAGTTTTTGAAATATCTTTGGCAAAATTTTACTTGCATGTGATATTAATGATATTTTCGACGGTTAGGCTATAGTAGCAAAAAAAAGAACTTTGTCCTCAAGAAAAGAATAAAGAATTAGATTTGTGGTTTCCAAGGTCTCAGTGATATAGGGGTGAGGGGTGAGTGGTCAGATGAAGGGAGCAGCCAGAATGAAGATAATGGTAGTGCAAGTTGGTTTAGTGATGGTAGTTGTAGAGCACGTTGTTTTACTTCTTGTAAATTGATGGTATAGGCTATATCTCTGTATACTATCAATTTATAAAAGTCTGAGACCAACTTTCTAGTGAGAGAAAGACCTGGTGATCTGTTTCCATAAAGATTGCCATCTAGAAAATCCTATGCGACAATTCTACGTGATACATGGGTCACTATGAGTTGAAATTGGTGGCACCTAACAACAGTTATTACTGGTTATAGACTTCTGGGAATGGTTAAAAAGAGGATTGTTATTTCCCTAAATTTCTGTCAGTCTTGTTTTGCATTTTGAGCTAATAAGCTATAGGATAAGCACTGGACTGCACATCACTAGGTCTGCAGTTCAAACCCATCAGCTGTTTCTCGAAAATCCTATACAGGGTTTGCTATGAGTCAGGTTGGACTGGACTCTATGGCACTGAACAACAACACCAATTTTATATAAAAAATTGAGAAATTTCAATGTTAGCAATTTAAGCATTTTGTAAGTTTTGAGGCAAGCCTAACTTTTTGTAAATAGTTCTCTCAAGTTTTGTCTGTGCATAACGTAAGTTTTATTGTATAATGGAGAGATGGCTGTAGAAAAAGTGTATATTTAAAGACTAGAATTTTAAGATAGCATGATTATGTACTAGGCTTGCCAGATGAGATTATAATGTTAGATGTAGACTGTTGGATTTCAGAGCAATGTTTTGCAGACTTAAGTCTGTGACCTATTCGTGGGTCTTGAAATAAATTTTTTGCATTTTTATCAATGCAAGAAAAAGGAAAAGAAAAAATATACATTGCACTTAATATGTTTTTGTTGTTTTTACTGTGTTGGATAGGAATGTAAAATTTATTTTTTACTAAGGAGTGTGAAGAGGGAAGTTTGAAAACTACTTTGGATGTTCAGATATGAATGGGTCAAGCCTATTGTTTTCAGACCTTATTGGTAGGGTTGGAGGTCTTGGTGTTGGGGGCGATGATATTAAAAGCTGGTAAGCCCATGTGACTTTTGATTAATTTCTTTGTGTAAGAGAAATCTGGGGCTCCGTGTTGCTTGGAAGGAAACCACCGCCCAAAGCCAGGTAGAAACCTATATGGGGCCCAGAGGAAAATAGCAGTCACTGACTCTGCTCCAGCCCTTAAGAAATGCTCCCTTCTTTTTGTCTTCTCATCTCTTGGCATCATCAGAAATTTGAACATTTTGAGTGTGGGCCTAAGGAAAAGGAGCCAAGGAGGCAGCTTAGTTTGCTGTTACTAGTTTACACACAAAAAGTGTAGTCGAGCACTCTGGAGGTAGGGATTATACATACAGATCTGAAATCAAATCATTTCATTATACCATATGATATGAGAGA